TGTCCTGTGCCCTTCTCTCTATTCTTGTCACGACCCTTGCTCGATTCTCGGCTGCGCGGTGTCTCCCTTGGCGCGGCGCTGCTGGCGTTGGCAGCAGCGGAGTCGGCTTGCTTGGGGGTCCGTTGGTAGCCAGGAGACCCCCCTGCCTTGAGCTGAGCTTCTCCGTGCTTGCCTCGCTTTATTTTCTCGGCATCCGTCAAGCCTGGACGCCGTTTATAGCATCCGCTCTGTAGACCCGTGCAGCTGCAAGGGTCCCGCGAGAAGGCATAACGCACCAGCTTGCTCTGACGTTCTCGCGACGTCTCCGATTGGCTTCTCGCCCGCGGTTGTCCTGCATTGGAGTTGCCAAACGTATTCGACGGAGTCGAGGAGCGAGGCCGATCCTTCCATTTCGGGTAATTGTTACCTGGTTTCCCGCTCCTGCCTCTCCGATCAGTCTTCCCGCCAGCTGGTTTGCTGGTGCCGCCCGCCACCGGCTAAGCCAGAGCAGCTGGCGTCTTGGGTTTCTTGTGGTTGCAAGGGCAACCCTGTCCCGCCTCGGGGCAGTTCTTTCCCTGCTTGACGTGTCTGCAGGTCGTCTCGCCTTTGGTGCGTCCGCTCGCTGTTGTGTCAGTGGGCAAGCCTAGCCGATGCGCTGTCGCTGCCATTGCGGAAGCTCCTCGTCCGCCCCCGCCGCCCTCATTCATCCCGCCGATGAGGCGGGCCGGTCTATTTTTAGAATTAAGGGTCGACTCGCGTTCGGAAATTGCCCACTTCTCACGATCCCGCATCGTGAGCAACTCATCCTGCCACAGGAGCCAATGGTGAGAACGCATTCCTGTTCCGGGAAGGTCTGTCGATATTTCGCACCACTGTATGATCCCGTCTATAGTCTCGGAACTTGTTTGATCTGTTCGTAGAAATGCGCGTGGATTGATCGGGCGATCGATAGTGATCTTAGAGAGATCGCGGCATACCCAGGGCTGGCAGCTTTCGGATCTGACCGAACAGCAGACACGTATGGCACGGATCATCTCGCGACCCGTGAGAAGGCGTTGCTCAGTCTGACACGAATGTTCCGTGCGTTTGCCTTGCGGAAAAAATGGGCATGCTATGCCCAGAGATTACGGCTGCGTTTCATTATGGCAAATGTCTCAAGCAGGTTCGTTGCTATCATCATATTCAGACGCATGAAGACCCCAGCTGCCTGGAGGTTCTCCTTGGGATTCTCTGGATTCATGGCTTCCATGATCCACATTTGCGATGCCTTGACATCGTGCCAAGACCCAGCCACCGCCCGTATACAGCGTTGTTTCTATTCTCGCAGTGGCTGGACGCTTGGGATGTCCATGAGGTTAAGCTCCTCATTGTTCCCAAAAGGTTCTCCAAGCGGGGCCCATTGGGTTGGCAATGCATGGCTGCAGCGCGGGGTTGTTGGGGCCATTTGGCCCTCCACCGCCGTCTCCGCCTGGGCCCCCTCCATCACCCGGCCCCCCCGGAGGGTCGCCCGGCGGCTGAAGTTCCCCCGTTTCGTCGAACTGCATGGCCGCAATTTCCCGGTGCTGGGCGCCGTACTCTGGTCAGCCCTCTGATCGTTATCGTCGCCTCCCTGTCCGCCCCCATCCCCACGCGATACGGCTGCGCCGCGGCCAGGTAGGTCGCAGTTGTCGGGTGGCCCTGAGAATTTGGCGTTAAAAAGGGACGTTACCAAGGTTCGATCCTTGAAAATTGTCCGGAATGAACCTCCATTCGGATTTCTCTACGGCCGGCCCTGGAATGAACCCTGAGTTCGAGAGAGGAAGCCTGGGTGCACGCTGCGCCGTTAAAGGAGGCATTCGGTCAAAGTCCGACTCCATCGATTTGAACGACGGCATACCCGTGACAATGGCGAAATAGCAAACCTGTCGTTCCAACCCAGCGCCCCTTTGCAGTGCGCGTTCCTCTGTCTTCCGCAACATTACCTGATCTACTCTGGCAGCGACTATATATCGTCCGATGGCTGCCAGTTCTGCCTTGTGATCCTCTAGCTCATGTACTTGCAGCTGGCGCCTGTCTATGATCTCTTCCGATTTCTCCGGGTGTCTCGGCGCCGCCTCATTTGCCTTGCTTTCGCTGCGGTACTTGTCTTCAAATCTGCTCAGCTGTTCCGCCTTTGTCACGGGATCGTCTTGTTCCCTTGACTCCTTGCACCCGTCGCATTCTGCGAGCCTCTCGGCGCCTCCGCCCAGGTGCCCCCTCCGCGCGGGCGTCGCGCGCCCCGCGCAGATCCCGATGGCAAGCTCTGACAATATGTGACATGACTCATCTGGCGTGCCCGCCCGAAATCGGGTCGGCGCGGCCGCCCTCGCTCGGACTGGGCGAGCAACAGTCGGACTCGGAGGAGGCTCTACATGCGTCGGCTGAGCCGGCGTTGAGTTGGCCCTCTCCTGCGATCCAGCACCTCCCGGCTGAGCCGCAGGCGCAAGCTTGACCTCTGGCGCAGCTATTGCGCCAGGTTGCATAGCTGTCTGGATATTTCCCAGGGCCCCCCCCGCAGTCTTGCGCTGCTCTGGGTCAGATGTTAGCCTTCAATTTTCTTCGCTCACGGCACGAATGACGAGTGCATCGTTCTTGATCCGCTCATCTGCGCGCCCTCTGCATGGTTCCAGGCCTCGGCCATCCTTCTTTGATCGTCATGCCGTAGGGCCTGGGCCCCCCGACCCTGCCCCCGGGGTGTTCACGCCGCTTCTAGCATTATCTTTTTCGGCCTCGAGCCCGGCAGCATCGCGTTGATTGCGGAGCCCTTGATTTTCTCGCGCTGCCTGCTCTCGAGCCACTCTCTCTCCTTCCCGCCCGGCTGTCTCAGCTATCATGCGAGATTCAACGCGGCCTTTGTCGGCCTGCAGTTGGGGCGACGAAATCATGTATTCGGCCGCCCCCTGAACCCTCCGCCTCTCTTCCCCTTCCCGCGCGATGCGCCGCTGAACCACGTCCTCAATCCCTGCCATTTCCGCTTCCGCTTGCAGCGCGCGTTTCTGCGCACCTTCTGCAATGGCAGCCTTTTCACGTTCAGCTATCTGCCATTGCCCTCTTCCCTGCCTCGGGTTCAGCGAGCTTGCGGTCGGCTTCCTCGGCGGCCGTTTAATCAGCATGTGCCCGGAGAAACATATGCGCGCACTTGTTGCACTCAGCTGCTCCCTATCTTGCTTCTGTTTCTCTTCCCACTCGCGAATGGCGACATGGCGGCAGTTGCGCTCCTCTAGCGCCCAGCGCAATGCATGCTTCGCAAAGCCACGATGAGCTACATTTCGGACGCACCTTCGAACGCTCTGCACGTGGAGGTCGGCGACGCGCCCCCCCCCCCCCCCGGTTTGCGCGATTTCCCCGGGCAACGATTCCCTGCCTGAGGCGGGCAACTGGGGCCCGCGTTCCAGCGCTTGTCCCAGATAGAAAAACTGCTGGCGGTCCTATCCGACGACGGACGAGGTGACTCAAGGGCGTCAAATCCTCTGGAGCTGGAACGTCCGGCTCTTGGGGCCTTTTCCCGACCCCCGCTGGATGTCGGCGTATGCTGCTCCCTTATTCTTGACCCCTTGTTCCGTGGGGTGTCATGTTGCCTCTGCGTTTGCTCATCTCTTTCGTCTTGCATCATGAGCTCGCCAAGCTCTGGTACACTGTCATTGCCACCCCTCGGCGGCATGAAACTGCGTCGATAGAAGCCCTTCGACAATGGTGGGGGATTAAGATCGTCAGCATCGCTCGTGGTCTTCTTTGTCTTCGGGAGTGGAGTCACACCGGTCGGCTCTCTCGCGCGCCGAGCTGGGCGCGCGGCGTCGGGCGAGTTCTCTATCGGCTGAGCCGAGAAGCTCTCCCTTCCACGGCCAACTCTCCCGCTCTCGGAGCTTTTCTTCCTCAAGATCGTCATTCGAATCAAGGATGGCCCTCCGAAGGTCCTCAGCCGGCGCGTAATCAATTGTCTCGGTATCCGACAGGTCTACGCCTGCGGCGAGCCCGTCAGACGAGCTTTGGAGAGGATTGAGATGATACGATGGGCCATGCGGCGTATGGAATTGGGCATCTGGATCGTTCTTTTCGATTGAATGCGAGCTCTCTTCCTCTGACTGTCTATCGCTCTCTTCTTCGCCCTGTCCATTCATGACAAACTGTTGTGCTATTTTTCCTCGTCATGATGCTCTCCACCCGCTAAGCCGGCGGGGGCATTTTCTGGCGGGCTCTGCTCTCCATAGGTCGCGCTGACTGATGTCCTCGGGCTTGAATGCGCTGATGCGACTGCAGGTGGCCCTCCGACGGAAGCACTGGCTGAGCCATGCCCTCCGCCTAATGTTTGAACTCTTCTTCATCTGGTTATATATATAAATATCGGGACATCCCCCTCTGTCAGATCCATCACACATTCCAACGCCCTTCTGGGAAGATTGAAAGAAAGAGGCCACCCCCTAGAGGCGCCTTTCTTGGTAATACACTCGGGATGGCATTGTCGTTATACTTCCCCGAGCGTTCCTTCCTGCGATCTCATGTTCAGCGAAGTATGTTTGAAGTGAGGAGGCCGGCCGGCCGGCCGACGCGCGGGCGGGAGCTCGCTCCTTTTCCGGTAATCTTAAGCCAAACAGCTGCAGTCGGGTAAAGTACACGGCAGTGCAAAGGAGTGAATGCAAGGGCAGCATGATGGTGGTGCGGAGAGGAGCGCATGTATTAAAACTCGTTCAAAAACCATGGAAACATTAAGGAGTTGGGCCTCTGGGGGAATGCTTCAGAGACTGTTGGAGGCTCTTGAAGGCCTCTTGCGCCTTGTTGGGGGCCTCTAGGGGGCCTCTTGGGCGCTCCTAGGAGCCTTTTATGGCCACTTCGGCGCGTCCTTGGGCGGAGGGCTCGATTTGTGACGCTCGGGGGCCAGGATCTTCGTGAGGAGTGTCGAGAAATGGCTCTCCAGGGGGCGCATTGGTCCACATGCGCTGTTTTGCCCTGCTGGCACGCGCTAGTGTTCGCCATAGAGAAAAGATGACGTTGGGCTCCAGCTTCGCCCCCCCCATCTCGCTCAGCAACGCCAGAGCCCGCTGCCACTGCTCGCCCTTCTCGCACGCGCTGATCCCAGCGCTGTAGCTGACTAGGGCTGGCCCATGGCCTAACGCCCACGGCACAAGTCCGAGATGGCATGTTGGACCAGGGCAGAGATGTAACCGAAAGGCTTTCGGGATGGCATTTGGCCCAAACTTCGGCTCTGCTGCTGCTGCTGCTGCTGCTGCTGCTGCTGCTGCCGCCTGCAGGTGCAGCTTGCCTCTGCATGGGGCATGTTCTTGCTGCAGCCTACTTTTGCTGTGCCGCCGTTGCCTGCTGCGGAACGCTGTTGTTCGTTGTTGCTGCTTGAGGCTGCAGGGTGCTGCGTCTTGGTGTCCTTGCCAGCTAACGAGCGCAACCTGGAGCTCGTGAGTGTGCGAGGAGCGAGTCGCAAGGAGTGATGAGTCAGGGCCGAGGGGGGAGGTGGGGAAAGCGAGGAGCAATTAGCGAGGAGCACGGTGCGAGAAGGGAGGAGCGACGGCCGATGAAAGAGAGAGAGAGAGAGAGGGAGAGAGAGAGAGAGAGAAAGAGACATTGAGAAAAACGAAAGAGAAATATGCGAGTAAGGATAAGGGAGAGCCGAAGAGGAGAGGGGAGGCAGGCGCCACCAGCCAGTATAGGGAGAAGCGAGGGGGCAGGAGAGCGAGGTGGAAGGAGCGCGGTTGAGCGAGAACACAGAAGCCAGAAGGGAGGCGAGGGAGGCGAGGGGCGAGGAGAGAGCGTGGAGGACAGATGCGCGTGGAGCGAGGAGAGGGACCCAGAAAGGAGGCATGAGAGGAAGCCAGAAAGGAGGCATGAAAAGAAGCCATCACACGCATGTCGCCATGGCCTCGGCGCGCGTGTGGCCGAACATGGGGCTCTTTTTGGGTGGTCGGCACGGTCACAGGGCTCCATGGGGATCTTCCTTCGAAGGCCTCGTCGAGGCTGTTCTTGGGGTGTCATGGGGCCTCTCGGGGTCCCCTTGTGGCCTGAGTTGAAAACAACGGGGGCCTCCTGGGGCTTCTAGGGGGCCTCTTGGGGGCCTGCTGGCGGCTTCATCCTGGAGCGGAGGCCTCAAAATGTCGAGTTCCCCCTCTTGGGGGCCTCGTGGGCGTCTCCTGGACCGTCTTGGGGCCCTCTAGGGCCGTCTGGGGGCTCTCATGGGAGCCTCTGAGGCTGTCTTGGGGGAATCAAGGGGGCCTCCAAGGCCTGCTGGAACGCTGCGAAAACAAAAACTACAAAACCAAAACATGCAAGTCTTCCCAACGAGTCGGAACATTGCCTTTCGCGGCTGTCTTGGGGGCCCTTGTGGATCTTTCTTGGGTCGTCTGGAGGGCCTCTTCTTGGGCCGCTGGGGCTGTCTTGGGCGCCTCTCCGGCTGTCTCCGGGGTTCCCGGAAGGAAAATAACCTCGATTGACGCACCGTACCTTCTCGCACGCAGAGGGTCCAGCATTGTAGAGGAGACTGGCGCTGACCCGTACCTTGCTGGCCTCGAAGTTTGTCCGAGATGGCACGTTGGCTCGGGGCGGAGCTGTTGCGGGAGCTTCGGCTCTGCTGTTGCTGCTTGCAGCTGCAGGAAACTGCTGCCTGTTCCATGCTGCTGCTTTCTGATTATGTGCTAATGCCGGCGGAGGGCTGCGTGCTGCTGCTGCTGTTCGCTACTTCTCCTTTTTAACTTACAGGGTGCTGCTTCACTGTACTCCAGCCAATTAGCTAACGCAACCTGCCGCTCGCGAGGTGAACGAGGAGGGAGAAGCGAAGGGAAAGAACCGAGGAATCAGGTTCGACGATGGAGGCGGGAAAAACGAGGGCTCAGCAAGGATCAAATAGAAGGCCGAGGAGCGAGGAGCAAAGTGAGTAAAATGACCACGATGGAAACCACCGCCTCCGCAAGTTCACATAAAAGAAATCCAGGACGGGCGAAATTCAGAATTTGTGGGGCAGCAATTCCCGCTTGCGCTCATGGCCCATGCGGCAGTGCGCGCAGCTCAAGCATTTACGTGCGCCCAGTACTCCAAAAGTTACCCTAGCAGAACCCTGATAGCAGCAAAGGTGGCATGAGAGACTTGTGAAACCTGCAGGACAGGTGGGACCACCGAGGCCTGCTAGACCAGTTGGAGCTGTGAAACCTGTGGGACCTGCGGGACCTGCGGGACCTGCGGGACCTGCGGGACCTGTGGGACCTGCGGGACCTGTGGGACCTATGCGCGACCTGCGAGCTCTCCGGGCCCTGCAGGACCTCTGGGACTTGTCGGACCTCTGGGACCAACGAGCCCTGGTGGGCCTGTGGGACCTGTGGGACCTCGTCTTGTGGGACCTGCGGGACCAAAGAGACCTGTGGGATTTGTGGGGTCTGTAGGAAATGCGGGACCTGTGGGGCCTGTGGAACCTGAGAAACCTGTGAGACCTGTGGGGCCTGTGGGCCTGTGGGACCTGTGGGACCTGTGGGACCTGCAAGACTTGCGAGACCCGTGCGGTTTGTGGGACCGGTGGGACCCGTCGGACCTTTGGGACCCGTGGGACCTTGTGGCCCGTGAGACCTGTGGGACCTGTGAGACCTGTGGGACCTGTGAGACCTGTGGGACCTGTGGGACCCCTGGGCCTGTAGGACTTGTGGGACCTGGGGGACGTGTCGAACATGAAGCGCGGAAAGTGCGAAGATAAACGCGGCATCACCCTCGAAATGTTTGCGTGTGGAGGCGATGCTCTGCACAGACACCTGTTGTCGTGTTTGAATTCGTTGCTCAACACAGGATGCATCGATCCCACATGGCAGGAAACGTGTTTTGTCATGCTGCCGAAAACGGGGAGCAGACATGATGTAAAAAACTGGCGCCCCATAGCCATTTTACGCATCACATATAAGACATTTGCACGATTACTGTTTGCACGCTTGCAGCCTGATCTAGAGAAAGAACAAACACATGACCAGGTAGGATTCCGTCCAGGCCGCTCCGTGGACGACGCTTTTGTTGTTCTGGAGGATCTGTCCACGAAAGCTTGGGAGTGGCAACTCCCACTGTGGATCGCTAGCATAGACCTCACGAAAGCGTTCGACAGGCTGGAACACCACGTGCTTTTCCAGGCATTGTCGGAGCAGGGAGTTCATGTAGAATATGTGCGTCTCTTGTCAGACATCTACAGTGCCCAATGGGGCAGCGTCAATGGAAGTGAAGCGTTCGACATTACGCGCGGCGTCAAGCAAGGAGACGTTTTGTCTTCATTGCTCTTTAACGCCGGCTTGGAGCACGCAATTCGGAAGTTCAAGCTGCGTGCTCGGCAGTGCGGCTTCGACGTTGGAGGCGTCAGCTTGCTTAGCAATATACGGTACGCCGACGACATTTTACTATATGCGCGTTCTGCAGCAGAGGTTTGTCGCATGCTGGACATCCTTTCGGAAGATTTGTCAGCATGCGGCCTGTCATTGAATGCAGACAAAACGCGAATAATTACTAACGACGTTGCTGTTTCCAATGCCGCAGAGCCCACCATTCTGCAGCTTGCCGGTTGCCAGTTGCCAGTTATGACGTCCCAGGTGTTTCATAAGTATTTAGGTAAGAAATTTGGGGGGCGACTTGCGCAATGGGTCAGAGTGCAATGTGAACTACCGCATGGAGTGCGCATGGGGGAAGTTCCATTCCCAGAAGGCAGTACTTTTGAACAGATCTATATCTTTGCGCCTTCGTTTGAAGCTTTTCGACGCGATTGTTACGCCCACGGCTGTTTACGGCCTTTCGACAACAGCCATGACAGCACAGCAGCGGGCGCGAGTTGTATCGACGCGCTCAAAAATGCTCCGCCGGATAGTTGGTCTCGGCAAGCTTTCCCACGAAAGTTGGGAGGAAGCGGGGCGACGCACCAAGCAGAAAGTGACCGTTGCTTTGAAGATTTTTCCTGTGTCGAACTGGCTTGTCGTGTTGGATCGCTCAATGTGGCGCCTCGTGGCGCGACTCGCCACCGGCGGCTCGCGAGAATGGCCGGCGCAAGTTCTACGGTGGCGTCCGGACGGCATCAGACGCCGAGGGCGGCCACGTCGAAGATGGACAGATGCCGTCGATTCATTTCTGCGACAAGAGCACGGCACGAATTTAATGAATGTGATTCGCAGCCAGGAGCCTTTCCCTTGGCAGCGGATGGAAAAGCATTTTCTAGATTTCATGAAGAGCGACTGATGTATACTACTATGTATAATTTATTGCTGCCCTGTCCACTACGTTTCTCTTGCATGCGCGTTTTGTTGCCGTAGTGTCTCACGCCCTCCGGCTCCGCTTGCGGAGCGAGGTGCCTCCATAGGCCCCTCGACCGGACTTGACTTGACTTGAGTGGGGCCAGTGGGAATTACGTGGCCTGCGAGACGTCTTGGAACTGTAGGACCTGTGAGGCAGGTGGGTCCTGTGAGACCTGAGGGGCCTGCAGGATCAACGAGACCTGCGAAACCTGCAGAGCCTGTGGGACCTGTGGGCGTTGTGGGAGCGGTGGGACATGTGGAACCTGTGGGACCTCTAGGATTCATGGGACATGAGAAAGCTATGGGATTTGTTAGGCCAAAGGGACGTGTGGGGCCTGCGAGACCTGCCAGACTTGCGACGCCTGCGGCGCCTGCAAGATTTGGGCCTGCGGGACCTGTGGGATGTGGGATATGTGGGACATGCGGGACCTTTTAGACTTAGGACAACTGTGGGACTTGGGAGACTTGTGGGACCCGTGGGGCCCGTGGGACCTGTGGGAACTGTGGGGCCACTGGGACCTGCGAGACCTGAGAGACCTGCGAGACCTGTGAGACCTGTGGGACCTGCGGGGACTGTTAGATCTGCGCGACATGCGAGACCTGTGGGCCTTGTGGGCACTGTGGGACCTGTGGGACCTGTGAGATCTTTGAATCTTGTGGGACCTTCGACCACCGAGGGCCGAAATAAGGCTCTGAATTGTGAGACCGCCAGGCACCCAAGTAAGACCTTACTTGGGACCCGGGGAACTCCTTATTAAATTGCGTGGATCGGCAGATGTCTCGTGCTTTGGGACCATCGAAGCCCCCATGAGGGATTTATCAAGGAACCCGAGGGTTCCTTGCGTCCACCATGTTTTCTTGGAGCGGGGGGACCCACACCTCAAACGTCCCATCGTGGCCGTCGGAGGCCCTCAACTGGCCACCCCGCTTGGAAACGCGACGCAACTGTTCTGCCGAGTCCCGAAGCCGACTCTGATGCCGTCACCGCCGCGCATGCACTGCAGCCGCTAATCCGCCAGCAAGCCCGAAGAACCGCCATGGAGGCGGGCACGACCCCAGACGGCACCAGCAGACCCCCCGGGTAGCTCGCGACGGCTCACGATGGCTCCGAAGTGTCCCACAGAGGCCCAAAGCGGCCCAAGGGTGCCCCCAAGAGGCATCCAAGACAACCCAACAGGATCCCGCGACAAGCCCGATGCGGCCTGAGAGTAGCCCGCGAGAGACCCAAGAGAGGTAAAAACAACGGACGCAGAATGAGGCAGAGGGACTCACAACGGGGGGACGGAGGAGGGGGGGCGACAACGAAAACGAAGGAGTACGCCCCGAACCGACGCGGATAAGCGTGTCACAAGTTGCGGCCATTGCACAGGTATGAGCGACGATCTGTCGCGTGGTACGGTTTTCTTGACGGCGCTCTCTCGCCGCGCCGAAACATGCGCAATCGCAGTGCGCGGGACTTGCCGCGAACACATCGGCATAATGCAAGCGCCCGATTCTCTACGCGCAACCGCATAGCGCATGATTTGTCAACGAAGTCGCGCCCTCCACGAGCCGACCGGGCTCTCCATTCTGAGACGCGCGCAATGAGAAAAACCAGCCAAAAAAACAATGCGATAAGAGGGTGGGGCAGGGCAAAGGGAAGAGGCCGGGCGAGAGGCGAACCACAAATGATCACCGCCCAAAAGAACGTGGCAAGCGCAAGCGCTGAACAAAACAACAGGACCGACATTCCAAGTATTTGGCGCGCCGCCAAGAAGGGAAGGGGGGCGGGGGGCCCGCGCGCCCAGAAGGAACAGACTTGGCGGCGTGCTAGACGCTACAGGAGGCCTCGCCACGCGGAGGCGCTCTGCTCGCATGAGCGAGCGCATCGTCGCCGCGCGCGCGCGGGGGCAGTCCGCGCATGAACAAGTCAGCGCAATCACGCCGCGCGTGCGCGGGGGCAGTCCGCCCATGCAAGACACGGGCAACTAACAGGCGAAACGGGCGTTCCGCGCCGCCTTAAACATAGTAGTGCAATGCCGCAGCGACCACGTTCTTACTACTGCGACCCCCCCCTGATCAGCGCGCGCGTGGGTCGTGGCAAACGGGCGCCGCCGTGCGCGATCGCCACTCGGCCTTGCGAAAGCACAAAGCACATTGAAGGGAATCTCCGCGGGAAGAGCGCTGCATGTGGCCAGGCTGCAACCTTTCGAGAAAGCACTGCGTCAAAAAAATAGAAACGCTCGCCAACGACGGCCGCAGCGCAGAAACAACCAACAACATAATTAAAACAAACGCCCAGAACTTCCAGTTGCGGTGGTTTCTTGCGCGGTCATCAAACGCGGAAAAAAAACTTGAGAAGCGGCTTCAAAATCCCTTGGAGGCATCTTGGGGCAATCGTGGGCCCATTCGGGCATCGTGGACCCTCTTTGGACTGTCGTAAGCTAAACTGGGCCCTCGTGCGGGGCACTGGATCTTGCGAGCCGCTCAGGGCGTCCTTGGGGCATCCTGGCCCGGTATCGGGGGCTCGGGATCTAGTTACTAGATCCCGAGCCCCCGATACCGGACCAGCGATTCATAGTACACTGCGTTCTAGATTCTAGCACACTGCGTTCATATCTGGCACGCGATTCGCTCAGAGTTGGTACAGATGAGCTTGGGCTCCGACATTACATCCCGCAACTCGCTGAGCAGCTATCGCCATTGGGCTCCAACTTCGCAGTCGACATCTAGTTAAGCAGCGGCATGACCCGCTTTCACTGCCCGCCTCTCTCTCTCTCTCTCTCTCCCTCTCTCTCTCTATATATAAATATAAATATATACCCCTCTTTTTTTTTTCTCTCTCTCTCTCTCTCTCCCTCTCTCTCGCACAAATGCTGATCTCACCGCTGAAGCCAACCAGGGCGGATCCGTGCAATGTTGTCCGAAGCAATTTCCTGCGCGATTGAAGACGGGCAAATTCACAATTCGGATGTCCGCCTACATAATCACAGTGGTTGCCAAACAAATTCCCACACGCACAGAGCTTCGCAAGACACGCGAAAACGCGAAAGACCGATCCCATGATAGCCTGGAAATCCTGCCGCATTGCGAGGCGACCTCTCATACGCGGTGGCGCGCACATTGTAACTGATGTCGTTCGTCTCCACATTGCATTCCCGCATCTCGCTGAGCAGCGACAACGCAGCAGCGCAGGTCGCAGCGATGTAGCTGACTACGCCGGACCCGTGGACTTACGTCCACGACAGCTGGTTCGCACGCAGGGGTGGAAATCGCTTGCCTGCTGTCATGCTTGCGCGCTGCCCTGCGCGCATGGCTGCTAGCCTGCTGCCCGAGCGACTCTGTACCATGTGCTTATGTTTGCATGCTGGCCAACGTTCCTAATCTCATGCCTGCCAGCTTCCCTGCTTGCCTGCTTGGCTGCGATGTCGCTTGCTCTTCTGCTCGGTGGCAACCAAGATTACGTTGGATGTCGGCCATCGCCTCGGAAAGGGGTAGAGCGCGGGAGGGGCCAAAAAGAGGCCAGAACATTCAGGCGGCCGCCTCGGCGGGTGGCCGGCGGACTGCATTGGATGCGGGGAGCGGAGAATTTGAGGGTGAGAATGCCGAGCGTGCGAGCATGCTTGTTGTGCGTTCACTGCGGGTGTGTGGATGTGCGCTCGGCTCGGGCCTCGGTGGAATGTTGAGGAGATGTCGGCGCGTTTGCTTGCGGTGCGGCGTGGCATGCGGCTTGCGATCACGTGCGTCGGGTTTGGTGTGCTCGGGCGTTGCTGTGGGGCTGCTAGGTTCTGAAGGGCACAGGAAGAGAAGCTGCGGTGCAAGCCGAACGTAGACCCGCGTTCGCCGTTTACTCGTTGTGTCCAGGGGTGGCTCGTCGCACGAGGCGCCCGAAGGCTTCCGGGGAGCAAGATCGGACAACGGGCATGGAGGGATGGTTTCGGCGAGGCGCAGTGGGCGGGTGCCGAGGGGCGCGCTTTCAGTCACATTCGGTGCTACGCGGCGGGCGCGAGGTGCGCGGTTTCCCGCTGTGTGCTGGCGCCGCGGAGAGATGTACCCACTTGTTTTTCGCCTCGGGCGCGTCGCCTGGCACCGCCGAGCCTTAGGGCCTCGGAGCAAGGGATTTACCGCAGCGACCTTCATCGCTAGTGCCTGAGCCCGGCTACAAGCAATGACGAAACTGCAATACTACACACTATGAGCATGATGTGCGAAGCAATCATGTCAAGAAACCTGACAAGCACCAAGAGACACATAATTGCACCTGTGAACAGGACCTGGACTGCGTTCGAAAGCAAGCTGTGCAGGCTGGGCTCGATATGGAAGCATATGTCAAAAGAGCGGAAAGAGACAAGGGCGGGGTGGACGAGAAAGGCAGAGAAAGAGGGAGGGATGGAGAGAGAGAGGCCCATCAAATCATCGAGGCGTCTGTACCCGGTGATGGCCACCGCCAGCAAGGTGAGCACAGAGCACGTGCCAGCAACGAATCTGATCTTTCTTTCTCGCCATGGCGTGACGAGGCGTAGGAGCACGACGTACATATCTGCTATGCCGGCACATGGAATACCCAATATTACCAGCAAAATTTCATATGAAAGTTCGAACAACCAAGACATCCATAAAGCAACGCGTTGCATTGAGATCATGACTGCGTGAGCGCATGCCCCAACGAGCCCGGAAGCGTGGCAGCGTGCAGGCACGTTGAAGCACAGGGGAACGATGATACTGTTGGATGCTAATCACCACGGGCGAATGCAAGCAGTCAATCTTGCAATTGTCGAGTACTGCCTTTGTCCACTGCTTCTCGTCCCTGAAGATCTGGCTGTCGAGCTGCATGCCGAGCGCTTTGCAGGTCTCCTTCCGGGCCCGCACCTCGACCTCAGCGTTGGTCTCGCTCTCGCCAGCCGTCTCCTCGTCAGGTGCCAATAGGGTACGGCCCCGCACAGCCTGCGGGCCGCCTGACCCAGTAGCGCCAGAAACGCCATCTGACCCGGCAGCGCCAGAAGAACCTGATGGGTTATTGCGGCGATCATCATCCCGGCGCTCCTTTGGACGGCTGCCGGAATCGCGGCGTGAGTGCGCGATGTCACCCAATGCCTGTGCAAAGACCTCCAAAGACTCATTGTTACCGGAATTACGGCCACTGCGACGCCGAGAGCCCGATCTTGACTTTGAAGGGCTGCGAGCACGAATGCGTCTGTCTGAGCGGCTGCCCTGATCCCTGTCGGAGCGCCTGCCACGGCCCCGGTCTGAATAGCCGCCACGGTCCCGGCTCCGCTCTCCCCGGCCGCGATCACGTGAACGGTCACGGGAGCGGCTGCGTCCACGGCTCCGGCCCCGCCGGTCATCACGGCTCTCATCGGACCACCTCCGGCTCAGCATCCTTCCGAGGGTGCGCAGGAATGGGAGAGGTGGCCGGCATTCCTCTCTCTGGCTGTCGCCCCGGCTCCTGGCCGAGCCTCCGCCGAAGGACTCCCGGAGACGATCGTCGACAAAATCTTGAACTCGTTTATCTTCTTTCTCACGTGCTTCTTTTTCACGCTGCTCACGGCTTCTCTCCAAGGATTCCTGAAGAAGTTGAGCAGTCGCCCAGTCCTGGCTGCCACCGTTCCCTTTTCCGCCGCCGTAGTTCCTGTTGCTGTTGTCGTACCACCGCCAAGGGCGCCAGCCTCGACCGCCGCCGTCTCTACCCATGGACTCCAACACTGCTTGGAAATCAGCTGGTTCGATATCGGGGGGCTTGAACAGAGCAGCAGCAGAAATGGTAACGCAACGCTTGGACGTGAGCCTCAGCGCCTTTGCGTATGTTCGTACAGCCACAATAAACGGGGAGCACCACCTCCTCGGAATATTCATTAAAGCGTTCCAGATGTGATGTTTTGGCCATTGTAAGTAGATGCGCTCTTGTACTAGACTATGAACGAAGAGAAACGTGTTAGTGACGTCCCCTTGCATTACGTTGTCCACCATAACTAATTGACGAACGAGAAATTGACGAAGATGATGATACGCGTGCGACACCTTCCCCGGAAACTGCCCAATCCTCATAACATGCTGTTTATCATGTAAGCCCAAGCCGTACATAACATTAGGACTAACAGGAAATATATGGATACAAGAATGACGGTCGATGTGAACGACAGTTGACAACACTCGCATAGTATGTCCCCTGGCTTCTTCAAAGAAGCCTACATTTCCAGGAAAAGTTTTGAGTAGAGCTTGAAGAAGACAATCACAACACTATACGCGTGAAAATGCGACGAGATCATCTACGTGGAGCATGCCGGTGACGATCTTCCTGAATGGCCTTTTGACGTTTTCGTTCATCCAGCCTGCGTGAGTTGCAAAATCTCTGACTGTGTCGCACTTCCATACGTAATGGTTCAAATCCGTCATCGTGCACGGCTCGCTCAATGCAGCCCCCATGGGCCATCCACCCAAGCGTTTCACCACGTGCTGGCCTACCAGAAAACGGCTGTCACCTTCACAATATGTCAATGCTTGGCCAATATCAAAAAAACGAAGAACATGGTGGGGAAGAGGAAAACCTCGTCGACGACGCATGGTACTAATATTGACAAGCCTGCCCTCGCAACGTGGAGTCTTATTGATGAGAACAGATGTTACGTTCAACTGTCGATGAGCTCTTTTCATCATTTCCCGAACGTGCCTCACTCCGTTCGTGATTGATGTTGCTTTGAAAAACTGTGCGGCGTCAACCTTGATCATTTGTAGACAACGATCTTTTCGTTGGCCACATGGACAGCGAGTTCGATATGCGTGAAGAAGAGATAAATGAAATACCCTTTCCTGCAGAGATTCCTTGATATTCGCCTGCCGCCACAAGGTCCATGCGTGCTCCTTCGCATGGAATTTTATGAGCCGTATGGCTCGTGCCACTAGCTTGAAAAACAACTTGTTGGGACTGTGCTCGTCGCTCACGATATCCCTGTCGTGGGCGTGTGTTTTCCCGCGTATGATACCCCCATGCTCCCCATGGCATTTGTCCTTGTAGTTGTGGTATGCATATTGAAGATGTCCCTCATGTAGTAAAACGTGTTTTTTTCCCATGCTTCCGGGATGCACGACTGGAAAAGCAATTGTTTCCTCTCCAAGAAAGTGTTCGGGGTCTCCTGAATCATCAACTCATAATGGGGGTCGTCGAGATACCTGCGTCCCAGGCGCCACCAATAACCCATGTTGCTTGCAAAGGCGATTTGCTTTGTATTTTTGTCAACGGTGACAGCGACTTGCGAGGAGGATACATATGGAAAAATATGAAAAAAGGATCAGGAGGTTGACCTCTGTTCCGATCAGCACGACGAATGATGTGCGTACACTCCTCACCAATATGTCTAATCTGGAATGTGTGTAATACCCGTGCCACCTCGTTCTCTACGTGGCTCTGCAACTCGAGCAGATCATTCGGGATGGGGACGTGCCAGAAATGCGTGGACTTGAAAACGTCGAACCCGTCTTCAAAATATTCCTGCAAATGCGCCGGAATATGCTGAAGATGTGTAATATCGAACTGTTTGGCGTGCTGGATATTCTTGTGCAGACGGTCAATGTGTTGTTGTCCTTTCCCCTGGATAACCCAAATGCGCTTCCTGAGAAAATACCCCAAGTCTCTGTAGTATTGAATACATACCAAACGGAGTATTGCCTTGATACACCTGCGTACTTGTAAAACAGCTTCTCGGGAATGTGTGTTTACTTTGATAATGTTCACGTTGCAATTGAATATACCAGAGCTTTTTTTTTTTTTTAAAAAAAAAAAAAAAAAAAAAAAAAAAAAAAAAAAAAAAAAAAAAAAAAAAAAAAAAAAAAAAAAAAAATGTTCAAAGGAAAAAAAGAACCCCCCCCCAAAAAAAACGACATGTTGCACGCTGTATCCTTGTCAGCTGGACCAGCTCAAAACTTTGCGCGATATGCCATGCGCAGAGCAGCAGCTTTACGGGGTTCGAATTTTGCCACACGAGCTTGTAGTTTAGCCTGGTGCTAGCATCCCCCAAGAAAACTGCCAACCATGATGCGAAACCGCTTGAATACATGCTTTAATAAATGCGGCTCCGATAAAACCCGTATTCTCGCTTGCAGTAGACGACTAAGTGTTCGAAATTCATACAATGGCTGCCGTTGCGCGCTTCTGTTTGCCAGCCCGTGCGCTCGTACCATGTGCGCGAATGCAGAAGATGTCCAACGTTTAATTCTACTTCACGTTCGAGACTAGGATATGAACGAATCGTGGGCCAGGGCCAAGAGCGTGGACCACGAAGATCCAGGCAAAGATGCTCTCTTTGCTGAGCGGGTGCCTGCAAGTGTTGGATCACGAACTTCTCGTACTTCAGAATCCGACCCTCTGCGTGCCACAATACACATACGAAACGAAAGTGATAAGGATGATGTTTTTTTTTCTAAATCCCATACCGCTTACAATAACTGTCCTTCCCGAAGGTCCCAATGAAATTGATGCAGTGCTCCTCAAACCTTTTTACTATTCCGGGTGTGTGTTCTACTGCATGCACATGTTTGCGTGCGCGTGCGACGTTCGCCTTGCCGACATACCAATGTGGATCGCGCTTCATCCACCCAAAATACAACGCGGTCTGATATGGGAACTTCTGTGGGACCCACAGCGCGCAGTACTGACACGCGACGAAGGCTCGCCATATGTGAGAATGGAGACGACAATGCAGAAGGGCTTCTTGAAAACTGCGGGAACAACCACGGATTATAACGCGAAGATGGTGATGCATGGCATGTGTGTGTGCGCTAGATCATGCAGAGACAACGCGCGCGAGATAGACGCGGCGATGCTCCAAACAATCATATCTGACTGGTGCGTTTTCAAGCGTGCTGCAAAAGACCATTCAAAACATATCCCAAAACATTGCTGAAGAAGGTCATAGGTGACGGGCGTTTGCGCCGGGAAACCGTCTGCTGCCCACTGGAATATGATACGTCCAATGTCACGGCCAATATCTGCATGTGTACGCGTGCGATGTCCATGATGCCCATGGCTTACATGAAATATGTTTTGCCATACCGTGTACGAGAGGAGGGCCAGACACGTGTTTCATTAACATGTTCATGTGTGCTCGCGAGACCCATGTAGCGTTGATAGTGTGTGTAACGCATAGTATTCGTCTAATTACGCTAATATAGAACATGTTGGAGAATTCGAACGCGAAAGAAACTTCTGGAAGAAATTGCCAAATACGCTCGCCAAATCCTGCCCTGCCTCACGACAGCAAGGAACGTGGACAGTATGAGAGATGTACCCACTTGTTTTTTCACCTCGGGCGCATCGCCTGGCACCGCCGAGCCTTAGGACCTCGGAGCAGGGGATTTACCGCAGCGACCTTCATCGCTAGTACCTAAGCCCAGCTACAAGCAATGACGAAACTGCAATACTACACACTATGGGCATGATGTGCGAAGCAATCATGTCAAGAAGCCTGACAAGCACCAAGAGACACAGAATTGCACCTGTGAGCAGGACCTGGACTGCGTTCGAAAGCAAGCTGTGCAGGCTGGGCTCGATATGGAAGCATATGTCAAAAGAGCGGAAAGAGACAAGGGTGGGGCGGACGAGAAAGGCAGAGAAAGAGGGAGGGATGGAGAGAGAGACAGAGAGAGAGGGGCGTGGGGCCAGGACCGAGGTGCGAGGAGCGAGGTGGAGCAAGAAGAGAGGGGCCAGGAGCGAGGATAGAGAGCGAGGCAAGGGAGCGAGGAGAGGGCGGCGAGGAGCGAGGAGCGAGATGGGGAGGCAGGGAAGAGGCCAGCACACGACTGTCTCAGTGGCCTCGGCGCGCGTGCGGCCGAACATCCGGTTTTTTCTTGGGTCGCTCATGGGGCGTTTCTGGGGTGGCCGGCGCGGTCCCAGAGCTCTTGAAGGGATCTTCCCTCGGAGGCCTCTCGGGAGGCCGCGTTGGCGGCGTCTTGAGGCCTCTGCGGGCCACTTGGGGCCTGACTCGGGCCTCCGAGGCCTCCTGGGACTTCTGCGGGTCCTCTTGGGGGCCCGCTGGCAGCCTCGGGGGTCTCATCTTCTTGGGGCGGAGGGCGCGGAGTATCACTTCGAGCTCCCGCTGTTGGGGCTCTCCTTGGGCTCGTCTTAGAGCTGCCATGGGCCGGAGGGGGGCCTCCTGGGCCGTCTTGCGGCCGTCTCGGGCTGCCCCGGGGCCCTCCTGGGGGCCCTGTTGGAGGTTGTTTGTAGGCCATGTTGACGACCTTCTCGAGGCCCTCTCGGGCCGTCCTGGAAAGTCTGGGCCCTCTTTGTTTGGCGTGGGCCTGCCAGAGCCCCGGAGACCCCCATTTTGACAAAAGCCCTTCTGGCATGCAGGAGGCGCTGCACTGTAGAAGAGGTGACGTCGGGCTCCAGCTTCACCTCCCACATCTCGCTCAGCAGCGCCAGCGCCCTCTGCCACTGCTCGCCTTTCTCGCACGCGCTGATCCCAGCGCTGTAGCTGACGACGTTGGGATCCAGCTTCGCCTCCCACATCTCGCTCAGCAGCGCAAGCGCCCGCTGCCACTGCTCGCCTTTCTCGCACGCGCTGATCCCAGCGCTGTAGCTGACTAGGGCAGACCTGTGGACTCCGTCCACGACATCAGCTCGACGTGGCGAGGGGTCTCTGGGCAAGCGCGGGCGTTTTTGCCTGCGATATGCCTGTCGCCTCTCGTCCGCTCCCCCGCTCCTGGAGGGAATTCTGAAGCCAATGAAGGCTTCGTGGGGGCCGTTTCGGAGCCTCTTCGGCTTTCTTTTAGGCCTCCTGGGGGGGCTCTTAGGGCCCTCTCGGGCCGTCTTGGGTGCCTCTTGGGCCGTCTTGGGGCCGTCTGAGGCCCGCCTCGGCGCCTCTTGGGCTGTCTTGGGCCGTCTTGGGCCGCTCCTGGGGCCGTCTTGGGTGCCTCTTGGGCCGTCTGGGGCGCCTCCTGGGCCGTCCTGGGGCCGTCCTGGGGCGTCTTGGGACCGTCTTGGGGCCCTCCTGGCCCGTCTTGGGGCTCTCTTGGGGTCCTCTTCGGCCGTCTTGGAGCGGTCGGGGGGACTTCTTGGGCCGTCTTGGAGCGTCGGGAAGCCGAAGAGGCGAGGAGGCCGAAAACATCGAAAAACACAATAGAAATCGACGATTTCTGTCGCTCGGGGCCCTCTTGGGAGGCCTCTTGGGAGGCCTCTTCGGGCGTCTTGGACGCCTCTTGGGCCGTCTGGGGCGAATCTCGGGCGTCTTGGGCCCATCTTTAAGCGTGCCGGGGCTCTCCGGGGCCGTCTTGGGGGCTTCTGGGGGCCCTCTCGACATGTCCTGGAGCCTGCCTGGGCGGCCCGGGGCGGCCCGGGGCCAGCCCGGGGCGGTTTCGGTGCATTGGGGCCTGCGCCCTTCTGGCACGCACTGGGCCCTGCAATGTAGTAGAGACTAGGGCTGACCCGTGGACTCCGTCCACTTGCGGGGTGGAGGGAGTACTGCTGGAAGGCGCACCTGATGACGTTGGGCTCCTTGTTCGCCTGGCCAACGACGCTTGTCATGAGGACCCTCTCGAAACGCTCTCGGAGGCTTCATGGCCGCCGCTTGTTGTGCTGAGTGCTGCCTGCTGCTACTTGCTGCTGTTTGCTTTGTCGTTCTTCTGCTGCCGCCTGCGGTTTGACTGGTGTGGGCTGCTGCTTGCTACGGCTTGGTGCTGCTGCTAGCTTTTTGCCTGGTGCTGGATGTTGCTGCATGCTGCATGATGCTGAATGACGCTTGCGTTGTGAACGCGTGCTGCTGATGCTGCACGGCTCTTTAGTGTCTGCGAAATGCCTGTCGCCTCTCGTCCGCTCCCACCCTCCCGGAGGCAATTCTGAAACCACTTAGGGCCTCGTGGGGGCCGTTTCGGAGCCATTTGGGGTCTTCTGGGCCTCCCGGGGAGGCTCTTAGGGCCCTCTTGGGCCGTCTTGGGTGCCTCTTGGGCCGTCTTGGGGCCAGCTGAGGCCGGCTTGGGCGCCTCTTGGGCTGTCCTGGGCCGTCTCGGGCCGCTCTTGGGGCCGTCTTGGGTGCCTCTTGAGCCGTCTTGGGCGCCTCCTGGGCCGTGCTGGGGCCGTCTTGGGGAGTCGTGGGGCCGTCTTGGGGCCCTCTTGGCCCGTCTTCGGGCTCTCTTGGGGCCCTCTTCGGCCGTCTTGGAGCTGTCTGGGGGACCTCTGGGACCGTCTTGGAGCGTCGGGAAGCCGAAAAGGCGAGGAGGCCGAAAACATAGAAAAACATAATGGAAATCATAGATTTTTGCCACTCGGGACCCTCTCTTGGGGCATCTTGGAGACCTCCGGAGCCGTCTTGGGCCAATCTTGAGCGTCTTGGGCTCATTTTTGGGCGTGCCGGGGCCCTCTGGGGCCATCTTGAAGGTCTGTTGAGGCCTTCCTTGGCGCGTCTTGGAGCGTCTCGGAGCGCGCCGGGGCCTGCTGGGGCCCGTCTTGGGGCCCTCTTGGCCCGTCTTGGGGCTCTCTTGGGGCCCTCTTCGGCTGTCTTGGAGCGGTCTGGGGAACCTCTGGGACCGTCTTGGAGCGTCGGGAAGCCGAAAAGGCGAGAAGGCCGAAAACATAGAAAAACACAATGGAAATCATAGATTTTTGCCACTCGGGGCCCTGTTGGGAGGCCTCTTGGGAAGCCTCTTGGGGCGTCTTGGAGACCTCTGGAGCCGTCTTGGGCCAATCTTGAGCGTCTGGGCTCATTTTTGGGCGTGCCGGGGCCCTCTGGGGCCTTCCTTGGCTCGTCTTGGAGCGTCTCGGAGCGCGCCGGGGCCTGCTGGGGCCCGTCTTGGGGCCCTCTTGGCCCGTCTTGACGCTCTCCTGGGGGCCTCTTCGGCTGTCTTGGAGCGGTCTTGGGGACCTCTGGGGCCGTCTTGGAGCCTCGGGAAGCCGAAAAGGCGAGAAGGCCAAAAACATAGAAAAACACAATGGAAATCCACGATTTCTGCCACTCGGGACCCTCTTAGGAGGCCTCTTGGGAGGCTTCTTGGGCCGTCTTGGAGGTCTCTGGAGCCGTCTTAGGCCAATCTCGAGCGTCTAAGCCCATCTTTGGGCGTGCCGGGGCCCTCCGGGGCCGTCTTGGTGGCCTCTCTGGGCCCTTTTGGCGTGTCTTGGGGCCTCCCGAGGCGGCCCGGGGCGGCCCGGGGCCAGCCTGGGGCCGTAAAGGGACGATTTTGTGCACTTGAGTGCCTGACTTTCTCGCACGCGCTTCCACCCGCCATGTAGGAGAGATGACGTCTGGCTCCAGCTTCGCCTCCCACATCTCGCTCAGCAGCGCAAGCGCCCGCTGCCACTGCTCGCCTTTCTCGCACGCGCTGATCCCAGCGCTGTAGCTGACTAGGGCTGACCCGTGGACTCCGTCCACGATATCTTTCTGGAATGATTCTCGGAGGAACGGGCTCCTGGGGGGGGCACCGGACGTGGCCATGTATGACAGCTGGGCCGTTTGAGCCCGCGAGGCTCTGGAAGGCGAAGGCTCCGAGGTGATGGCAAGATGCCTGGAGGAGAGCGTGGATTCGACGGGGCGCCCGAGCGGTGCGAATGGCCAAGATGGCTCAAGATGGCGTTCAGAGCGGTGAGAACGGCGAATGCTGCCCAAGATGTCGGGGGTCCGAGCGGCGCGAATGGCCAAGACGGTCCAAGATGGCTCTCAGAGGGCCTCCGAGGGCCACTATCGCTTACTGTAGGCTCGCTCTTGGCGTCAAAGGGCCCTGCGGACAATTTTTCTAAGAAAAAGTGCTTGCAGACCCCTTTGGGGGCCACTTGACATGGCATGGTGACGTTTTCGTGTCGTGACGGCTCCGGTGGGTTGCACGCGCGGCTGACAGCTGGGCCGTTTGAGCCCGCGAGGCTCTGGAAGGCGAAGGCTCCGAGGTGATGGCAAGATGCCTGGAGGAGAGCGTGGATTCGTCGGGGCGCCCGAGCGGTGCGAATGGCCAAGATGGCTCAAGATGGCGTTCAGAACGGTGAGAACGGCGAATGCTGCCCAAGATGTCGGGGGTTCGAGCGGCGCGAATGGCCAAGACGGTCCAATATGGCTCTCGGGTCCATCTTGGGGCGTCTCGGAGCCCTCTGGGGCCGTCTGAGGGGCCTCTTGGGGCCCTCTTGGCGCGTCTTGGGCCCATCTTGGGGCGTCCCGGGGCCCTCTGGGGCCGTCTTGGGCTGTCTTGGGGCGTCTTGGGACCGTCTGGGAGCCCTCTTGGCCCGTCTGGAGGCCCTCTTGCGGGCCTCGTCGGTGGTTTTGGAGCGGTCTTGGGGACCTCTTGGGCCGTCTTGGAGCGCAGGGACGGCGAAAAGGGGAGAATACGAAAAACATAGAAAAACACAATGGAAGTCGACGCTTTCTCCCGCTCGGAGCCCTGCTGGGAAGCCTCTTGGGAGGCCTCTTGGGGCCTTTTGGCCGCCTCTGGGGCCGTCTTGGCCCAATCTTCGGCGTCTTGGGCCCATCTTGGGGCGTCCCAGAGCCCTCTGGGGCCGTCTGGGGGGCCTCTTGGGGCCCTCTTGGCGCGTCTTGGGCCTATCTTGGGGCGTCCTGGGGCCGTCTTGGGCTGTCTTGGGGGGCCGTTTTGGGCTATCTTGGGGCGTCTTGGGACCGTCTGGGGGTCTTCTTGGCCCGTCTTGAGGCCCTCTTGCGGGCCTCGTCGGTAGTCTTGCAGCGGTCTTGGGGACCTCTTGGGCCGTCTTGGAGCGCAGGGACGGCGAAAAGGGGAGAATGCGAAAAACATAGAAAAACACAATGGAAATCTGCGATTTCTCCCACTCGGAGCCCTGCTGGGAAGCCTCTTGGGAGGCCTCTTGGCGCCTTTTGGCCGCCTCTGGGGGCCGTCTTGGCCCAAGCTTCGGCGTCTTGGGCCCATCTTGGAGCGTCCCGGAGCCTTCTGGGGCCGTCTTGGGGGCCTCTGGAGGCCCTCTTGGCGCGTCTTGGGCCCATCTTGGAACGTCCCGGGGCCCCCTGGGGCCGTCTTGGGGGCCTCTTGGGGCCCTCTTGGCGTGTCTTGGGCCTGCTACACTTTTTGGTCCGAATCGCCCTTCTCGCACGCGCGGGTCCCTGCATTGTAGTATAGATGACGTCGGGCTCCAGCTTCGCCTCCCACATCTCGCTCAGCAGCGCAAGCGCCCGCTGCCACTGCTCGCCTTTCTCGCACGCGCTGATCCCAGCGCTGTAGCTGACTAGGGCAGACCTGTGGACTCCGTCCACGACATCAGCTCGACGTGGCGAGGGGTCTCTGGGCAAGCGCGGGGGGGTGCGGCTGCAGGGCCGAAAGGCAATCATGATGGCGTCGGGCTCCTCCTCCTCCTCCTCCTCCTCCTCCTCCTCCTCCTCCTCCTTTTCCACCTTCTTCTCCTCTTTCGCTGGATTCTCCATGCCCTCGGTCGGCAATCGTCGATCCTACGACGACTCTCCCCAACAGAGAAACATCGAAGGCCCTCGGAGCGTCCAACATTGTTCTTTTGTGCCTTCGATATGCCGGTCGCCTCTCGTCCGCTCCCCCGCTCCTGGAAGGAATTCTGAAGGCACTGAAGGCTTCGTAGGGGCCGTTTCGGAGCCTCTTCGGCCTTCGTTTGGGCCTCGCGGGGGGGCTCTTAGGGCTCTCTCGGGCCGTCTTGGGTGCCTCTTGGGCCGTCTTCGGGCCATCTGAGGCCCTCCTTGGCGCCTCTTCGGCTGTCGTGGGCCGTCTTGGGCCGCTCCTGGGGCCGTCTTGGGTGCCTCTTGGGCCGTCTTGGGCGCCTCCTGGGCCGTCCGGACGCCGTCCTGCGGCGTCTTGGGACCGTCTTGGGGCCCTCCTGGCCCGTCTTGGGGCTCTCTTGGGGTCCTCTTCGGCCGTCTTGGAGCGGTCGGGGGGGCGTCTTGGGCCGTCTTGGAGCGTCGGGAAGCCGACGAGGCGAGGAGGCCGAAAACATTGACAAACACAATAGAAATCGACGATTTCTGTCGCTCGGGGCCCTCTTGGGAGGCCTCTTGGGAGGCCTCTTCGGGCGTCTTGGACGCCTCGAGGGCCTCCTGGGGCGAATCTCGGACGTCTTGGGCGCTCTTGGGCTGTCTTGGGCCGTCTTGGGCCGCTCCTGGGGCCGTCTTGGGTCCCTCTTGGGCCGTCTTGGGCGCCTCCTGGGCCGTCCTGGGGCCGTCCTGCGGCGTCTTGGGACCGTCTGGGGGCCCTCCTGGCCCGTCTTGGGGCTCTCTTGGTATCCTCTTCGGCCGTCTTGGAGCGGTCGGGGGGGCGTCTTGGGCCGTCTTGGAGCGTCGGAAAGCCGACGAGGCGAGGAGGCCAAAAACATTGAAAAACACAATAGAAATCGACGATTTCTGTCGCTCGGGGCCCTCTTGGGAGGCCTCTTGGGAGGCCTCTTCGGGCGTCTTGGACGCCTCGAGGGCCTCCTGGGGCGAATCTCGGGCGTCTTGGGCGCTCTTGGGCTGTCTTGGGCCGTCTTGGGCCGCTCCTGGGGCCGTCTTGGGTGCCTCTTGGGCCGTCTTGGGCGCCTCCTGGGCCGTCCTGGGGCCGTCCTGCGGCGTCTTGGGACCGTCTGGGGGCCCTCCTGGCCCGTCTTGGGGCTCTCTTGGGGTCCTCTTCGGCCGTCTTGGAGCGGTCGGGGGGACTTCTTGGGCCGTCTTGGAGCGTCGGAAAGCCGAAGAGGCGAGGAGGCCGAAAACACCGAAAAACACAGTAGAAATCGACGATTTCTGTCGCTCGGGGCCCTCTTGGGAGGCCTCTTGGGAGGCCTCTTCGGGCGTCTTGGACGCCTCTTGGGCCGCCTGGGGCGAATCTCGGGCGTCTTGGGCCCATCTTTAAGCGTGCCGGGGCTCTCCGGGGCCGTCTTGGGGGCTTCTGGGGGCCCTCCCGACATGTCCTGGAGCCTGCCTGGGCGGCCCGGGGCGGCCCGGAGCCAGCCCGGGGCGGTTTTGGTGCATTGGAGCCTGCGCCATTCTGGCACGCACTTGGCCCTGCAATGTAGTAGAGACTAGGGCTGACCCGTGGGCTCCGTCCACGATATCTTTCTGGAATGGTTCTCGGAGGAACGGCGCAGATTGCACCGAAAATCTACAAACACGGCGGCGGCTCGGGCGGCGGCAGCGAAACCGCGCCTTCGTGTCCGAGCTCTTGCAGCGCTCCAGCAGCTTGGCCCCGGCGCACTGCTCGTTCACCCCCCTCCTATTGAGGGCAGTTTCGAAGTCTCTCGGGGATGTGCGTCGAAGTCGAAGCCCATCTGAGGCGTCTCAGGAGCGCCTGGGGAAGGGCTCGGAAGGCCATCGGGGAAAACCACCGAAAGCGCCGGGGAGGCTCGCAAGGATCTACAGGGAGGGCCCAAGAGAGCTTGAAGTTGAAATTCAATAAAATCTCAACAGAAACCGCTGTTGGGTCGGCCATCACCTCTGGGCACGCCTTGATGGTGCGATCCAGTCGCATCGCCGCCAACGGGAGGGTTTGTTCGCCAAGTCCCATTATGTTCGCCCAGAGGGTCTGTGGTCCGAAGAGTGCGGAGAGGTGCCTGGGTCATATCAATTGGCTGCTGTCCCAGGGGTCCGGTCTGGTTGGCCCGAAGAATTTGCCAAGGCCCCCTGGGGGAACATAGTGGCACAGCATATCGGGCAAAGGGGGGCGGTAGCTGGCCTGTCAGACCCGGCGTTCGTCTTCTGCCCAAGCGGCGCGGGGCCCACGGGCCCCAGGGTTGGCGGCCCGCTGGGTTTCCTCTTGTTCGCCCACAGGGTTGGAGGAGGCCTCCAGGCGAACAGAATGGAGCAGGACAATGAATGTGGGAGACTTGTCGCAAGCTCCCAGCCCCCCCAAGTGTGCGCCCGAAGGGGTGTGGGGCCGTGTTGGCTCCCTCAAAGGGCCGTCTTGGAGCTGTCTAGGCCCGTCTTGAGGGCGCCGTTTGCCGTGATGGGGCCGTCTTGGTTCGTCGTGGGCCCCTCATGGGCGCGTGCGTAGGCCGTCCTGGGCCCATCGGGGTCCTTGTTGGCACTATCTTGGGGCTGTCTTGGAGCCGTCTTGGGCCGTCTTCAGCGCGCGCCGTGCTGGGGCAGTCTTGGCCCGTCTTGGGGCCATACTGGAGCCTCCTGGAGGCGTTTTGGATCCTTTGGGGTGACCTTGAAGTCTTCCAGGGCTGCTGCGAGTGTCCGAAAGCTGAATTGGCGGCACGCGGGAAATCTTTTGAAAAGCCTAGGACAACAAACGATTTTGACCTCTCGGGACCCTCTTGTGAGGCCTTTTGGGAGCCTCTCGGAGCGCCTTGGCGCTCGCTTGGGTCGTGTCGTGCCCATTTGAGGGGCTTCCCGGAGCGTGCGAGGACCGTCTGGGGCCCTAATGGCGCCGTGTGGGGCCCTCATGGCACCATCTGGGGAGCCTCCAAGGGTCCTGGAGCGCCGGAAGGGCTCCCGGAGCGCTCCGGGGCGCTCTGGACCGCTCCCCAAAAGACAAGCATGGAAGGGCCCCAGAGCGTTGAAAACAGCTCTTCAAGCGGTCCGGCCCTCGCCTCTCGTCCGACCCCCCTCTCTGAGAGGCAAGGTGGAAGCCACTTGGGGCCTCTTGGGGACCGTTTGAGGGCCTCTTTCCGGCCTCCCGGGAATCCATTGGGTCCCTCTTGGGCCGTCTTAAGTGCCTCTTGGGCCGTCTTGGGGCCGTGTGGGGCCGTCTTGGGCGCAGCTCGGACAATCTTGGGGCCGTCTTGGGCCGTCATTGACTGCTCTTGGGGCTGTCTTGGTTGCCTCTTGGGCCGTCTAGGGCGTCTCTGGAGCCGTCGCGGGCCCGCTTCGGGCCGTTTGGGGGCCCTCCTGGGGTGCTCTGGTGGCGTCTTGGGGCGATAGGGAAGGCCTGTATAGCCGTCTTGGACGCGGTGAAGACGAAAAGAGCGAGCATATAAACAATATACGTTTTCCAAGAGGAAGGGGGCAATGTTTGCCTCTTGGGTCCCTCCTGGGGGTCCTCCTGGGCCGCCTTGGGAGCCTCCTGGCCTGCCTTGGAGGCCTCTGGGGCCGACCTGGGGCTCGGTTGGGTCCCTCTTGGTCTGTCTGGGCGCCCTCGTGGGCGTTTCTGAGCCGTCTCGGAGCGACCTGGGGGCTCGCAGGGCGGCCTGGAGAGCCCGGTGGACATTTCAAGACTGATGACCTTCTGGCACGCATCATGGCCTTGGGCGAAATCCGCCACCGTGCCTGTGCCTGGGTAATGGCTCAGAGGCGTCTGGGGTTCCTCTTGGAGGCAGCTTTGGGGCCTCTTGGCGGCCTCGTGGGGCTTGCTTTGGGCTTCTTGGGGGCCTCTGGGGACCTCTTGGCGTTCCCTTGGGGGGGTCTTGGGGCCTTGTGTGGGCGTATGGGGGCCCAGGGCTCGGAGTGTCAGGGTTTTTCCCCGTTATGTGGCCCCCTCTCGGGCCTGGCTTGGGGTCCTCTGGGGCCGTCTGGAGCGCACATCTTGGCACTCCCTGGGCCGCCTGGGGACGCGCTTGGAGGCCTGTTGGGCCGTCCTGGGGCGGTCTTGTGGGTCTCTTCGGCCGTCTTGGAGCGTCGGCTAGCCGAGAAGGCGAGAAGGCGAAACTCCTTCAAAAACCATGGACAAATGCAGGATTTTGGCCTCTGGGGGCATGCTTCGGAGGACTGTTGGAAGCTCTTGGAGGATTCTTGGGCCTTGTTGGGGGCCTCTAGGGGGCCTCTTGGACGCTCCTTGGGGCCTCTTATGGCCACTGCGGCGCGTCTTTGGGCGGAGGGCTCGATTTGCGACGCTCGGGGGCCACGATCTTCGTGAGGGGTGTCGAAAAATGGCCCTCCATCCGTCTCGTCGGTCCACATGCGCTGTTTGATGTTCTGGCACGCGCTGATGTCCGCCATAGAGAAGAGATGACGTTGGGATCCAGCTTCGCCTCCCACATCTCGCTCAGCAGCGCCAGCGCCCGCTGCCACTGCCCGCCCTTCTCGCACGCGCTGATCCCAGCGGTGTAGCTGACTAGGGCTGACCCGTGGACTCCGTCCACGACATCTTTCTTGAATGGTTCTCGGAGGAACGGCGCAGATTGCACCGAAAATCTACAAACACGGCGGCGGCTCGGGCGGCAGCAGCGAGACCGCGCCTTCGTGTCCGAGCTCTTGCAGCGCTCCAGCAGCTTGGCCGGGCGCACTGCTCGTTCACCCCCCTCCTATTGAGGGCAGTTTCGAAGTCTCTCGGGGATGTGCGTCGAAGTCGAAGCCCATCCGAGGCGTCTCAGGATCGCCTGGGGAAGGGCTCGGGAGGCCATCGGGGAAAACCACCGAGAGCGCCGGGAAGCGCAAGGATCTACAGGGAGGGCCCAAGAGAGCTTAAAGAAAACTTGAAATTCAGTAAAATTTGGCTGCTGTCCCAGGGGTCCGGTCTGCTTGGCCCGAAGAGTTTGCCAAGGCCCCTGGGGGAACAGAATGGCACAGCATATCGGGCAAAGGGGGGCGGTGGCTGGCCTGTCAGACCCGGCGTTCGTCTTCTGCCCAAGCGGCGCGGGGCCCACGGGCCCCAGCGTTGGCGGCCCGCTGGGTTTCCTCTTGTTCGCCCACAGTGTTGGAGGAGGCCTCCAGGCGAACAGAATGGGGCAGGACAGTGAATGTGGGAGACTTGTCGCAAGCTCCCAGCCCCCCCAAGTGTGCGCCCGAAGGGTGTGGGGCCGCGTTGGCTCCCTCAAAGGGCCGTCTTGGAGCCGTCCAGACGCGTCTTGAGGGCGCCGTGTGCCGTGATGGGGCCGTCTTGGTTCGTCGTGGGCCCCTCATGGGCGCGTCCGTAGGCCGTCCTGGGCCCATCGGGGTCCTCGTGGGGCTGTCTTGGAGCCGTCTGGGACCGTGAGGGAACGGAGCTTCCAGGTGTTCGTTTTGAGGGGCGCTGAAAACGAACAGTGCCCAGCCCCTGGTGGGGCCTTCCCAGGCCTCTCTCGGGCTCTTTTCGAAGCGTCTGAGATCTTCTTGGGCTCCTTTGGGAAGGACCTCCCCGCTTGAAGGCCGTCTCGGTGGGGCTCCTCGCGGTTTCAAGGCCGTCTCGGGAGGGGCCTCGAGGGTGCCAAGACGGAACAAAACAGAGCTTCCATGTGTTCGTTTTGAGGGGCGCTCAAAACGAACAGTGGCCAGCCCCTGGTGGGGCCTTCCCTGGCCTCTCTCGGCCTCCTTTCGAAGCGTCTGAGATATTTTGGGGCTCCTTTGGGAAGGACCTCCCCGCTTGAAGGCCGTCGCGGTGGGGCTCCTCGCGGTTTCAAGGCCGTCTCGGGAGGGGCCTCGAGGGCGCCAGGACGGATCAAAACAGAGCTTCCAGGTGTTCGTTTTGAGGAGCGCTCAAAACGAACAGTGCCTAGCCCCTGGTGGGGCCTTCCCAGGCCTCTCTCGGGCTCTCTTCGAAGCGTGTGAAATCTTCTTGGGCCCAGCAGGGGCCGTGTTGGCACCCTCTTGGGGCTGTCTTGGGGCCGTCTTGAGCCGTCGCAGCGCGCCTTGGGCTGTGCTGGGTCCGTCTTGGCCCGTCTTGGGGCCTTCCTGGGCGTTTCCTCGGACCCTCCTGGGACTTTCTGGGGCCTCGTGGTGCATCGGACCGCCGAAACGGCGGGAAACGCAAAGGGTGTAACAGTAAGCAATGGAAAGTTACAGATTTTTGCCAGCTGGGGCTCTCTCGCCATCTTGGCCCGTCTTGAGGCCCCGACCGGGCGCGTCCTTGGGCCGTCCTGGGCGCACCCTCCTGGGACCGTCGAGGAATCGTCTTGGGCCGTCTTGAGCGCGCCTTGGGCCGTCCTGGGCCTGTCTGGGGCCGTGTTGGCACCCTCGCGGCGAGGAAGCTCGGAGGCGGGTTCGAGGCCTCTTTGGGGCAATTTTGGAAGCTGTTGGGGCCTCTGCTGGGGCCTCGTTTGGGCTCCTTGGGAGCCTCCTGGAGCCTCTTCGGGGGATTCTTGGCGGCCCCTTGGGGCCTCTTGGGGCCTCTTGGGCCTCCTGGCGCCCTCTTGGGGCAGAAGGCTCGGAATTTCGGTCCGTGGTCCCCCTCTAGGCCCCCTCTTGGGCCTGTCCTCGGGCCCTCGTGGGCCGTCTTGAGCGTCTCTTGGCTCGTCTTGGGGCCCTCTTGGGCTGTCTTGGGGCGCTCTTGGAAACCTCTTGGGCACCTCTTGGGGGCCTCTTTGGGGCTCCTGGGGGCGTCTTGGGCCTCTCTGGGCTCGTCTATCGCGCTCCTTGGGCTGTCTTGGGGCCCCCTAGGGCCTTCTTGGGCTCTTCGGGCCATCTTGGGGTCCCGGTGGCCTGTCTTGGGCGCCTCTGGGGCCGTCCTGGGGCCGCCTTGGACCGTCTTGGGGCCCTCTTGGACCGTCTTGGGGTCCTCTTGGGGACCTCTTCGACCGTCTTGGAGCGGTCGTGGATGCCTCTGGGAGGGTTTCGGAGCGTCGGGAAGCCGAAAAAGCGAGGAAGCAAAAAACCTCGGGGAAACCAATGACAATCAACGATTTTGGCCTCTCGGGTCTCTCCTGGGATGCCTCTTGGGAGGCCTATTGGGCCGTCTTGGCGAGCTCTTGGGCCGTCTTGGGCCAATCTTGGGCGTCTTGGCCGGATCATTGCGCGTCTCGGGGCCCTCTTGGGCCGCCTTCGGGGCATCTTGAGCGGCTCGGAGCCGTCTTTGGGCCGTCGGGGCGGCCTCCGGAGCGTCTCGGAGCCATTTCTAATCATTTGGCTGGATTTCCTTCCGGCACGCAGTTCGTCCGGCCATATAGTATAGACTAGGGCTGACCCGCGGCCTCCGGCCGCGGAATTTGCCCGCCCTGGCGTGGACGTGGAAGTGGAGCGTCTCTGGGGCCTCGCGGGTAAGGGGAGGTTGGAGGGGACGGCGTGGATGGAGGAGGTGGCCGCTGAAGGGGAAGGTGGGCGAGGGATGCAGGCAAGCAGGCCTGAAGGCAGAGCTCTGATGCGCGCGGAATTTCCACCGCTCCCTCGCAGCTTTCAAACATCAGCACGCCGTGCGAGACCCGTACAGTCCCCAGCACGCGCTCCAGAGGCCCCACCACGTCCATCGGCTCTCACCCTACGGAGGCATCTGGGCACACTGGCGCCACTTCTCCCCAAAACGCCCCTCCAGGACCTCTCAGGCATGACCGCCCCTTCCCCCCTCCGCCTCCACCCCAAGAGCGTGGCCCTTTCGCGGGTTCCTCAGGACACGTCGGCCCATCCATCCTTGCGCAGCCAGTGTGCCCTGGGCCTTCCTGATTGGAGGAAAAACACCCCACACCTCTTGGGACACGCATCGCCCGGGAGGGGATGCAAAAAAGACCTGATTGGACCACCCGCAGACGTCCCAGGCCCCCTTTCCGTGGACCCCTCCCGCACGGAGCGTGTCCCAAGAGGTGTGGGGTATGGTTTTCTCCATGCCAAACGCGCGCTCCCCCTCGCCTTCCTCCTTTCCGCCCCTTGCTCGCGCCCCCCCTGTTCCTGCGGCTGCTGTTGCTGCCCCTGCCGCTGCCGCTGCCGCTGCCGCTGCCGCTGCTGCTGCTGCTGCTGCTGCTGCTGCTGCTGCTGCTGCTGCTGCTGCTGCCGTTGCTCTCCCTCCGCATGCTCCTCCTCTCGCCCTCCTCCTCCGTCTCATCCCCTTCCACCTGTCCCGGCTGTAGCAGGCTGTTCCTAGCGGAGGCATCGGGGAAGCGGCGGGGGGGCCCTCCCATACCCGGGAGGGGGTCCTCGTTGGGCTATGTGGGAGCCTCTGGAGAGCCTCTGGGAGCCCCTTGAGGGCTCTTGCCTTCTGGGAGCCTCTGGGGAGCGCCCAGGGGCCTCTTGGGAGCGCCTCCGGGGCCTTCTGGGGGCCTCTCGGGGGCGTCTTGGAGCCTTGCTGGCCGTGGAGGGGCCCAAAGGGGGGGGAAGCGCTCCGAACTGGACCCTCTTGGGCGTCTTGGGCGTTCCTTGGGGCCGTCTGGGGGGGTTCTCGGGCCGTCTTGGGGGCCCCAGGAGCTCGATCGGGGGCCTCTGGGGCCGTCTTGGGGACTCTCTTGGAGGCCCCCGGGGCAGCATGGGCCCGATTTCGGACGCCCGCTGTGCCGTGGTGGGCGTCTTGGGGCGGGCGGGAGGAGCACCACCGGAAACGTCAAAACCCTAGTGAATATCGATAGTTTTTGGGGGCCTCCTGGGCCCTCCCGGGGGCCTCCTGGGCCCTCTTGTGGCGATCTTGTGAGACAGTATTGTCGTCTTGGGCGCTTTGAAGACGACAAGCACTGGAATTACCAAAATGAGCGTTATGGAAGATGTTCCTCGTTCGGGCTCTCTCGGGGCTCTTCTTGGAGCCCACGTGGAGCAATTTGGGCGCCACTTGGGCCGTCTGGAAGCTATCTTGGGCGTCTTCGTGCGCTCTTGGACCATCTCGGAGGCCCTCTTGGACCGTCTTGGGGCGTCCTGGGGTCCTCTCGGGGAGTTCCGACAGGGTCTTGGAGCGCTCTTGGGCCTTCCTGGAAGCGCGCCGAAGCCAGCTGGGGCTCACGGGGGCCCGCAGGGCCCGCAGGGATCGCCGGAGGAATGTGTCCGACCCCCGCCCTTCTCGCACGCGCGGGGCCCTGCAATGTAGTAGAGATGCCGTCGGGCTCCAGCTTCGCCTCCCGCATCTCGCTCAGCACCGCAAGCGCCCGCTGCCACTGCTCGCCTTTCTTGCACGCGCTGATCCCAGCGTTGTAGCTGATGACGTCGGGCTCCAGCTTCGCTTCCAGCATCTCGCTCAGCAGCGCCACCGCCGGCTGCCACTGCTCGCCCTTCTCGCACGCGCGGATCCCAGCGCTGTAGGTGACGACGTTGGGCTCCAGCTTCGCCTCCCGCATCTTCTTCAGCAGCGCAAGCGCCCGCTGCCACTGCTCGATCTTCTCGCACGCGCTGATCCCAGCGCTGTAGCTGATGACGTCGGGCTCCAGCTTCGCCTCCCGCATCTCGCTCAGCAGCGCAAGCGCCCGCTGCCACTGCTCGCCTTTCTCGCACGCGCTGATCCCAGCGTTGTAGCTGATGACGTCGGGCTCCAGCTTCGCTTCCAGCATCTCGCTCAGTAGCGCCAGCGCCCTCTGCCACTGCTCGCCTTTCTCGCACGCGCTGATCCCAGCGTTGTAGCTGATGAAGTCGGTTTCCAGCTTCGCCTCCAGCATCTCGCTCAGCAGCGCCAGCGCCGGCTGCCACTGCTGGCCCTTCTCGCACGCGCTGATCCCTGCGTTGTAGCTGATGACGTTGGGTTCCAGTTTCGTCTCCCACATCTCCTTCAGCAGCGCAAGCGCCCGCTGCCACTGCTCGCCTTTCTCGCACGCGCTGATCCCAGCGCTGTAGCTGATGACGTCGGGTTCCAGCTTCGCCTCCCGCATCTCGCTCAGCAGCGCCAGCGCCGGCTGCCACTGGCCGCCCTTCTCGCACGCGCTGATCCCAGAGTTGTAGCTGACTAGTGTGAACCCGTGGAAAATCCACGGCCCGCAGGTCCAGGCATTGGTCCCGAACGCGCACGTGTCGGAAGCGCTGGAAGCGTCAAAAGCACTGTGTTTTTGCTAATCGCGCGAGGCCTGGGCGCGATTAGCAGAAACACGTAGGTTTTCAGACGCAATCAGAGTAAGGGGGCCCGAACGATCTTACAGAGTCCCTGTGCGCGAGAAGTTCGATGTGGGGGGTGGACGCGTGGGGGCCAGAGTTGGGCGCTACGTTGGGGGGCCTCGTTTGAGGGCCACGTTGGGGGGTCTCGTCAGGGTGTCATGGTTGGGGCCAACGTTCGCGGCCCTGCCGGGGGCCATGTTTGGGGGCCACGTGCGGGGTTCGGGGGCACATGTGACGGTCGCGTTTGAGGGTGTGGGGTTCGGGGGCAGATGTGACGGTCACGTTTGAGGGCAATAGTTGGGGGCTGTGTGTTGGGGCCACGTTTGGGGGCGCCTGGGGGCTACGCGTGGGGTTGACGTTCGGGGGCAACGCTTACTGGGGCGGTAAGGGCGACCTTCGGAGGCTTTGTGTGGGGGCCGCCTTTGGCGGTCCCGTTTGGAGGCCGCGCGTGGGGCCGACGTGTAAGGGGCCACGTCCAGGGGCGATCTCAGAAAGCAGTCAGGGAGCCCCGGGGGCACTGACCTGGAAGCGTGAAAAGGAATGGGTTTTTGCTAATCGCGCTGGGACTGGGCGCGATCAGCAGACTCAAGGGTTTTCAGGCACCGTCAGAGTGAAGGGGCCACGTTAGCGGGCCCGCGCAGGGTGGTTCTGAGGCCATCTCGGGGTTCTCGGGCCGTCGAGATGGCCGTCTCGAGAGCTCTGGTAGGTCGAAGCCAGCAGAACCGAGAGAGCAGCGGCGCGGCCCCCGATACAGCCAAGGGTGCGGGTGCTGGGATACGTAGGGCCCCCGAATCTGCTGTAGTGGTTTGCGGGCAATTTCACCGCGGGCATGGGTACCCTGACTCTCCACCTTCCATACCTTCCGCGTGGAAGGTTTTCATGTTTTTTCGTGTCTGAGTTTGTCTTGTTTGTCTTGTTTTGTCTTAATTGTCTTCTTTTGTCTTATTTTCGTTCGTCATGATGATGATGCTGATGATCATCATAAAGATGATGATGACGTGATGATGACGATGGTGATGATGATGATGCTGACAGTGGTGGTGATGGTAGAGATTCTGAATTGGATGATGATGACGATGGTGACAATTACTTTCTATGGTGCTGATGCGTATGATGATGATGATGATGATGATGATGATGATGATGATGATGATGATGATGATGATGATGATGCTGATCATCATCATCATCATAATGATGATGATGATGATGATGGTGATGGCGATGGTGATGATGACGAGTTGGATGATGATGACGGTGATGACGGTAGGGATGATGATGATGACGATGATAATGATAATGATGATGATGATGATGATGATGATGATGATGATCAAGACGGTGAGGAGGATAATAACAAGGAGTAGAATAGTGATGACAATAAGGATGACCTCGAGGGTCAGGGAGATGGTGATGATTATGATGATGCTGATGATGATGATGATGATGATGATGATGGTGATGCTGATGATGTTGATGCTGATGATGATGGTGATGATGATCAGGACCATGATGGCGTGGGGATCATCAGGATGAAGATGACAACGCTAAGGATTCTGAGGAGGATAACGACGAACGACGATGATGAACGACAAAAGTAGGAGATGACAGAGGAAGAACACGGTGAACGAGGATGTGGAGGAGGAAGGAGGTACAGTAGGAGGGGGAGGAGGGGGAGGAAAGGAACACGGATGCAATGTGCAGTTTCTGGCTCTGGCAGGTCGCTCGGCCCCCCTTTTTTGGGTTCCTCGCCAGGGCCAGAGGCGCTGTCCGCGCCGACGATGAGCCAAATCGTGCGCTCAAGCCTTCGATCCGCGCTTGATTTACTGCCGCAGGAGGTGAAGGCCAAGGGCGAGCTCATGAGCTGGAACACGGGCGGCTCCAAAAAGTGCCGAGGCCTGCCCGAGTACGCTTGGACTAGCGGCTGGTGGAAGGTGCTCAAGAGCGCAATGACTGTGAATCCAGCGCTGCAGTTCGACATATCGGACTGGGAGGCTGCGGTCGCGGAGGTCATTGGCCCGCGCTTCAGCCAATTCAAGGTCGCGGAGGAGTCCAAAAAGATCTTGGACTTCGTAGCGGGCTGGCGTCGACACGTCAGGACCCTGCAGCTGACAATACAATATGAGAAATATGAGGGAACTGAGGACCAGGATGGATGTGAGGGGGTGGGGGTGGAGAAACAAGATGAGAGTTACGATCACGACAATGATGCTGACCAATGGTGGTGAGCGGTGAGGCGATGCCAGTGAGGATAATGATCGATGATGGTGATGATGATGAACGACAGGGGCATGACGATACATACATATATATAGAGAGAAAGAGAGAGACAGAAAGAGAGAGCGCAGGAGGAGCGGTATGTGTATTTGTACGGCGAGGGGACGGGAGAGAGAGAGAGAGATGGAGAGAGAGATACACAAATATAGTAACGGAGAGACAGTGAGGTAGATGCGTGTATGCACACATAGGTTTAGGAATATACCTAAATATATTGATAACAAGAACTACACACAATGCGAGGGAGGGAGATGAGCAGGAGGAGGATGGCGAGCAGTAGGAGAATGGCGCATAACAGCAGGAAGATCCTGAAGATCAGGATCAATGATGATGATGCTGTTGATGCTGATGATGATGATGCTGCTGATGATGATGCTGCTGGCGATGATGCTGACGATGATGAGGAGGAATGCTGAACAGCCTGATGATGCGGACGGCGGGAAGAATAACGAGGGTGACGAGGAGGCGTATGAGGAAAGGACGGGAGAGACGGAGCGAGAGGAGGATAGAGCCGACCGCGAGGAACAAGTACAGCATGCCTGCGGAGCTGGTGCAGGCCATGCAGCCCGACGTGTCCAACGACAACAAAGGCAAGGGCAAGGACGACAAGAGCATCAAGAGCTACATGCGCTCCATGATGTTCGACTCCGATGGTGACGACGAGGACGACAGCCTCGAGCCCGTTGGGCCAGGCGTGCGCGGGACTCGTCCACCACATCATATTCCTCCTTGTCTCCCTCCCCCTGCTCCTCCTCATCATCATCATCATTCGCATCCTCTCCGATCTCTTAGCAATCCTCATCATACTCGTCCTGGTCACGTTCGTTCTCATCACCATTCATCTTGACCATCCTCCCCATCCTGCTCATCATCTCTCCAGGTATCTCCACTTCCCTTCCTCCTATGCCTCCGAATCCTCCTCATGATCATGGTTATCCCATGTCCTCATCATCCTGCTCTTCAGCATCCCTCCTCCCACTGTTCATCAGCTCCTCATCCTCATTACCCTGCTCTTCAGCATTATTCTCTCATCCTTTTGTTCGCCTTTCTCCTTCCTACTCCCTATCCTTGTTGCTCCTCTTTCCCGTCGCTCAGCCTCCTCGCCCTCCGAGGCCGCGAGGAGAAGGCCAAGGACGGCACGCTCAAGGACGGCAAGGGCAAGGACGGCACGCTCAAGAACGGCAAGGGCAAGGACGGCAAGCTCAAGACCGTGCAACAGCAGGAGACGAGTGGAAAAAGGAGGAGGAGGAGGGGATGGATGAGGAGGGCAAATAGAAGGATGAGGGAAATTCTGAAGAACAGGATGATGAGGAGGATGAATCAGGAGAGTGGGGGGGAATGCTGAGGAACAAGATGATGATGATGATGATGATGATGCTGATGCTGATGCTGATGCTGATGATGATGATGATGCTGATGATGATGATGATGATGATGATGATGATGATGATGATGATGATGATGACACGGATGAGTAGGATGATGGGGAGGACAGGAGGACGAGAAGTGGTGGCTATCTAGGACGAGTAGGAACAGGGCGAGGAGGAAGAGGATGAGGAGGAAGAGGATGAGGAGGAAGAGGATGAGGAGGAAGAGGGTGAAGAGGAAGAGGATGAGGAAGAGGATGAGGAGGAAGAGGATGAGGAGGAGGAGGAGGAGGAGGAGGATGAGAGAGAGGAGGAAGAGTGCCAACGCGCGTCCCCCCAGGACGGAGACGACGCGTCCGTCGACGAGGAGTTCGAGTCCGACGAGCACAGCTTCGACGACGACGACGACGAGATGGAGCTCGACGGAAGCAAGGCCGTGGAGAGGCCCGAGTACGTGATGCAGGGCGAGGTCTGCGTCCGCGCTGAGGACGGTGTGCGGGCCACTGGCAAGTTCGAGATGAATGGTGCCACGTGCTTCACGTGGCCAGATGGCGACAGGTGGGTCTCCACGGTCGCGTGGTCGCGCGCTGCTGGCGCTGCTGTGCGGCGTCGTCCGGCGGCAGCGAAGGGCAAGGACATGAGCAAGCTCAAGACGGGCAAGGGCGCTGACGAGACGGGCAAGGTCGGCAAGGGCAAGGGCACGAAGAGGAAGGAGGGCAAGGGCGCTGCACCAAAGAGGCGTTTGCGGGCCAAGACCGACGACGGCGGCAACGATGACACGATGGAGGCGCTGCAGGCGGCGATCA